GAGGCTAAATTGTTTGGGAATCACTGGAAGTGAGGTGAGGAGGGTAGGATACCCCTTATACTTAGGAATAATTTTCCTTTTAGGAGTCCTTAACCAGATTTTTGTTGATGAGGGTTTCGTATACCCTATATACTATAAACTACTACCCTAAAGCAGTACTAAACCCTGCTCCCCTGGCTTTTGTACCAGCATCAAGTTTGCTCCGCAGCTCCCAACTTCATCAAAGGACAGACGGAAACCACCCACGAGGCAGCCCCTGGAGCAGCACTATGGCAAAGCAACCCCTGCGTTCGCACAACCGGCCCTCGGGAAGGAGAGAGAGATGGAGACAGAGCTTTTGGTTTCCCCCGATTCAGAAAGAAGAAAGGAGGGGGCGCAGCTAGGAAGCTGACATACCCTGCCGCTGGAGAGCCCGCAAGCAGCCCGGTGCTGGCAGCCTTGGAGTCCCGAGCTGCTGCCTCCGCTGCTGCTGCCGCTGCCCCCGGAGTATTTCTGCTTCACCATCCAGTCCTCCAGCCCTTTGCGAGCCAGAGAGGCGTTCACCGCAAAACTATCACCTAGAAAAGAGGAGACAATGCCGCCGCTGAGCCGCCCGCACAGCCCGGCCGGCCCGGGGAGCCCGCAGCGGGAGCGGGACCGGGAGCGGGACCGAGCGGGCGGGCAGAGCGCGGCGGAAAGTTGGGGAGAGGGCAGCGGCCGGGGGCAGCCGCGGGGACGGGCGCGGAAAGGCGGCGAAAGTTACTAGCAGCAAGCAGCCATCCCTACCTTCCGGACTTTCTCTGGGTTTACAAACGGCGGCTAGGCAGATCCAGAGGAAAGTGTGTGAGGGAAATAATAAAGGAAGATCGTTAGACACCAGTATAAAATCACAGCGACAAACCAAGTAAAATCCGAATAAGGGGAAAGGACTGAGGAAGTAGCAAGTGAAAGGAACTAACCATGCTTCGAGTGAAGTTTCCCCATTTCTCTGCATTGATCTGCAATTACGATTCATTTGACTGCTTTCGGTAGGGTCAGGTTCTGTTGTCGTTCTTATTTTTGTAGCTGTATAAAATCCCAGCGTGTTTAGAAATCCATGTGCTCCGCTTCTCCCTGCTAAAGCACAAGCGAGAGCAAATCTCAGCTCCCTCCTGCAGCACGGTCCAGCGTCCCCCTCTCAGCTCCAGCCTTCCTCCTCTCTCCTCTCTTTCCCAAAGACAGAGGCGGTTACAAAAGACCTTACTTCACCCACCGGGGAACATGATTGACACCTCATTGAGATTAGACCACTTGCAGGCAGCCTCCGCCTTCCCATTGGGCCGCGGCGGCACATGAAAGGGACGAGCGAGCCTTTTGGAGGCTCCCAAAAAAAA